GTGGATGGGACCGGGTAGGGGAGGGTGGTCGACTCATAGCGTAAGGGTGAGGGCAATACAAAGGTGAGATCGGAAATCCAGAGCCAAGTGTGAATCAACGCAAGAGTTGCGATGTAAATAATACAAAGTAAACAAGTGACAGAAGAAATTGAGTGTTTTCTACTGGCAGGGCCCTACGCTTGTCTCTCTGCCAGGTGGTGGGTTGATGGATGGTAGGGGATTGTTTTCATCAGCATCATAGTCGACTTCCTCGATGTGCGTGTGAGGCATCGTATCCGGTGAACGAGAGGCGCGACCAAGATCACGTCGTCGATGAGGGCGATTGGATTCCGGAGAAGAACCAGAGCTCGCCATGAGGCAGGTAGTCGCCCAAAAACGTTACTCTCAAAAGGATTAACAACTAAGAAAAGGAAGATTGTGGGTGAGATGTGAAGGATGGAAAATCATCTTGTGGATATGCATGTCTCAAAGTCTGGAGCCCAAAAGGGAATAATAAGGTGCAAATCAGCCGTGAAAAGAAGGTGTCATCGCAATAAAGCCAAAGATAGTTTGTCCCTTTTTGCTGCGTCTGGCAAAGTGCAGGGTGAAACAGAGAAGCTAGGACCTGGTCGAACGAGGTCGAGAGCGAGATCTCGAGCGCATGTGAAGACGAGGCCGAGGTGCATGGCGAGAGGACGGAGGGTCAGAAGAGGGAGGCATCCTGTTCCCGGTGTTGTGGGTCCTGGTGGTCCTCGATGAAGTCGTAGTAGAGTGGGGTAGAGCAGGAGGTGTGGAAAGGGATGCGCGATCACCAAAGTCTGTGCGACCTTCAAGTTCGTCTTCAAGTTGTTCCGGGCTCTGTTGAGTGATATGAAGGAGGCCCAAGGCAGTGAGGAGCTCGTGGGTGTAGTGGACGGCAGTGTGGTTGAGGCGAAGAGCAAGAAGGAGCGTATTGTCCAATCCTTCAAGTTGAGCGCGAAGTTGTGGGTGTGTCACCCGATACATGAATGGAAGGGTGCGAATGCAGAGTGGGATATGCAACAGTGAATGGATCTGGGCCAAGAGAACATGTACAAGTAGAAGTTCACGATGTAGCATTGCTTGAGCACGAAGTGGAAGGCCTGGAATCGGAGCTAGACCACAGGGTGGTGTAGATGCCGAAGCCATGGCAGAAAAGGAGGCGAGAAACAAGGGGGCGAAACGGGCGGTCACTGGTGAGCCCACGAATAGGAACAGAATAAAGGAGTATCAATGTCGAAGAGATCCAAATGTGGTGATCAAGCTGACATCCGGAAAAAGAAAGAAAAGGTCTTTTGTACTGCCGAAACCCAAAAATGGTCGGGCAAGTGAGAGATCCAACTAAAATCGGAAGCGTCTCGCAGGGGAACGTGAACGAGAAGGTGAGCGAGAACGTGGCATTCTCGTCAAGGTCAAAGCAGGATTCGAAGGAGGGAGGGGAGTATGAGTGACCTGAGGAGGAGAGGGGTCAGTGGTAGTCGTCGTCGTAGTCGTCGAGGGTGGAGAGGGAGGAGAGATGAGAACACGAGGAAAGGCCATAGATGAAGAAAAGGAGTTGGAAGAGGAAACCAAGCGGCCAGTAGGATGTGGAAGTGTCAAAGCGGAGCATAGTTCATCAGTGTATACCAGTGTAGTGCAGGTAGATCGTCGAATCTGTTCAATGCTGGTCTCGAGGGCGCGGAGAGTGGTACGAAGACGGGGGCTAGTGATCGTGTCCACAATAGATGGAGTGACGGTATCCCAAGGTCCACGTAGGATCAGGAGAATCAAGTGTAAAGAAGAATGTATATGAAGACGTTCACGATGAAGTACTTCATGAGCGGCAGGAGGTAAGCCGGCGATGGGTGCCAATCCCGTAGGACGAGTCGATGTCGTCGTAGACGGTGTAGACATGGCGGCGAGACAAACAAAACGTACGAGACCGGAAAGGCGTAGGGCGTGGGAAAGGCTAAAAGCCGAAAGGGTCAAAAGTATTGAGTCAAGAGAGTGTGTCACAAATCAAAATGAACAAAATGGCATTACAAAAGGAAGCGTAGGTGGACATTTTCTCGTGAGTGGCGCAATGAGCGATGGAGCAGTTTAAAGATTCCTCGGGTACGTCTGAGAGTGAGACCGAGAGCGCGAGCGAGCAGTGCTGGATCGTAACTCGGCGGTGGAGAGAGTCCGGTTCGAAGTGGTAACCACAATACCAGGTGGAGGACGACCCATAGGAGTCCTCGGTGGAGGGATCGTTGGTTCAGCCGGAATGGAACTGGTAGATGTCATACGTCGAGTCGTAGGAGAGCCCAAAGGAGGAGGAGGGACAGAGGGAAGGCGAGGGTCAGGAAAAATCGAACGTCCACGTAGTTCAGCGTCAAGTTGAGCAGTGTCACAGGTCAAAGCGTGCATCGTGCCAAAGGTGGTGAGGAGTTCCTGGATGTAGTGCACGCCAGTATGAACTGCCTGAGTCGCCTGTCGAATCGCCGAGTCAAGTCCTCGAATTTGCACCTGAAGGTGTGGTGAGGTAATGTAGTCCATAAAGGAGGGGTAAGGCTCCCACAGGTTCCAATGAACCTTGAACAGACTTCGGTCGCTGCGACCACGTACGGCTTGCCCAGGGGGCTGCCATCTTTGACCGCTACGGTCACGTAAAGGCATGAGCCAACTTAGAATTCCAAAGATGGGACAAAATCATCGTACGTACGGCCTAGGCCACCTACGCTCGCTGCGAGCTGCTCTGTATCCGGGCAGTGGATACGTTCGACCTACACCCGTTCGACGGGTCCACGGGAGGCACTCTGCGGGCTCATCCCGGGTTGGCACGAGGCCAAACACACTTAGGATAGGGTGTACTGAACTGAAAGCGGTGCCACACGCCGGCCTAGGATTTCATTTCCTAAGGGTACACGTATAAACCACTGGATCCTGGAGGTCTTCCAGAGGAAGTATGGCCCAAAGGGAAAAAGACGAGCGACGAACCGACAAGATGACGTCGTGGCGTGCAAGTCTGCGGAGCTCACTAGCACTTTACAAAAGGAAGAAGGGTGGCCACCAGCTGCGTCTTATAATGCGCCCAGGTGCACCAAGCAGGTACGTTTTCACGACAGCTTGGATGGGTCTTCGTTGGCCCATGCCATCCAAGTGTCCATGGGCCCCCTGCTGAAAATTCAAAGCGAACATAAAGCAAAACAATCCGAAAGGATCCCTGTGATTCCAAGGGTTACACACACACACACACACACGAGATCACACGTAATGAGAGCGCACAAATGAGAGCACCGGCCTGCGAGAGCACACATGTGAGAGCACAGGTGTGAGAGAGCACACATATTAAATACAGGAGAGCAACCACCCACACACACACACACATGGGAGCATACATAAAAGAGCACAAATGTCAGAGCACGCACGTGAGAAGACACATCTAAAAGCACAGAGATGCGAGCACGGTGAGAGCAAACACACACACACACACACAAGAGCAATCATATGAGAGCGCAGGCATGAGAGAGCACACAGAAATGCATACACAAAATAGCATACATGTGAGAGCACTGGTATGAGAACACACACACACACATGAGAGCACACATATGAGGGCACATGTGTGAGAGCACACGTTTGAGAGCGCACACATGACAGCACATATGGCCCTTTGAGGTTCACAAAATGTTGCGCCATGTTGCGCCTGCCAAGAAATCAGCCCTTTGAGGTTCAAGGTGTGTGCAAGCTTTGCGTGTTCAATAGACATGCTTTGAAAGTGAGGTTGGCACAGGCGTCCTACAGTCCCCAAGAGGCAGCTGATATATTCTAATGCAAGTAAACATAAGTAAACACCCATGATGTGTCACAAGGACCTGAAGGTGAAACGCAGGACCAGTCCAATGGAATTACAAAATGAATCTCCCGTCCTTCCAGTCACTTGCAGGTCCTTCCAGAATGAATTTCATGATATTTATGGTACCCTCATAAAAGTGGACTCATTGCTCACTTGGAAAGTCGGTGGCCCCCATTGACTGCTTAGCGCTGCCCGGCATTCAAACCAAAAACGGGGTGCGTGGTCTGATCTCACAGCGATGTGTGAAAGCCTGGTGGGTCTGAATGGTCGGGAGACAGCGACGGCGATGTGTTGCATCGGCTCCGTTGCACCACAAACGAAACACCTTGACCGTTGCGGCCTGTTTCAGGGCCTAGACCAACTCCATGAGACTCTCCGACTCAGCCCAGTTTGAGGCGATTTGGTCTCACTCATCTAGTCAAGCACAGTGTGCTCGGGCACGGCCCCGAGTATCACTGACGGACTCACTGAGGATACTCGTGGCGTTGCAGTGCCCAATGAGCAAGTTTCTACTGCTTTGCAACCCCAATGTAACTCATTCACTGTGACAGCATCGCGGACGATTGAACAATTGCTACGCTGCACGAATCACAGCTACCATTCTGGCGTCTGGGAATTCCGGTGGACGAGTTGCAGGTACCAAAATGACACAACGTGACAACCCAGTACAATCATAGTATGAAACATGATCGGTTCTTTTGTTGGATCTATTCAGTTGAAGGTCCCCTACATCAGGGTGCAAATCGTTGGGGTTGTGTTGTCTCTGCCAGTCAGTGTGGCCCAATTTGAGTGGTGAACGTCAGCGGAGTAGGCCATGTTTTGCTTCGCTGGGCTCCACGAATGGTGCCACAGGTTGGGCTGTGGGGTCTCTGACGGCAGTTTGCAGTTTCCATCTGACAAAGGGATTCCTGGAGAATGACCTGACATGGAAAAACACATCACAGGCTTTGCACTCTAAGTGGTGCTGGGACATATTTTGATCGAGCATAGGGTGCAACATGGTGCAACCATTGGATTCAATGGATTCAAGTGATCACTCAATGCACTAAATCTGTTGTGCAACCCTGGCCTGATGTATGGTGTGCAGTTGTACGTATGTTCAGCCATGCCCAGCCCCTTGATGGTTCATGCATCTGATATCTGAATGTGAAAAAGTGAATGTCTGCCACCCTAGCAGCACAGGCACCTGTTCAAGCTCCTTCACCTCCAAGGCCTCTGGAACTTTTCCTCCTCTTCGATCTCGCGTGTAGCGCTTTAGGAAGGTGTTCTCGAATAAGCCTTGCACCCAATCGAAGCGAGGGCTGCCTGGAAGCATTGTCTGCTTGATCACCAAATCGCCGCCGGAAAAGACAATGGCTTTGATTCCCTGGCCCATCAGTCCTTCCTGCAGAATCCCCAATAAGTTCCAAGCACTGGGAATTTGAAGCTCCTGCATGCGAGCTGCCAGTGGTTTAGAGTGGTTCAGTCATTGTCATGGGACATACGACTGCATAATTCATAGTTGGTCTAGGGCCTAGGGTTCTCGATCACTCTGAATTCCCAACACAGACATTTATGTGTATTTGTATATAAGGCCCATCCCCTCATTGTTGGATGTCATGACTTTCCCCGATCCTTACAGTAGGCTGCAACAACGACTTCCAATAGCTCACTGGAGGCAAAGCTACTGGCCACAGACGAAAGGACGGAGTCAGCACCTTTCTCTTCACCCGCTTCACCCTCTTCGTCTGCGGGCGCCGTGAGAACCTCTGCAATCAGCCCTGCAAACACGAACATGCCATAGCGGACCTGGTCGCTTAAGGTTTCACTTTTCCCAGCTTGCGCTTGTTGACTCACCCATTTCAACCGCGACTCCAGCTCGTAGCAAAGCATCTGCCGGAACTGTGAAAGGTCCGACACCATTTCACCACAATGCTCCACTAACTTCAGCAACTCCCAGAAATCACTCTTCAAGACCTTAGCATCTGCGGCATCAGCGGCGGCGGTTTCTCAAACGTTTGTCCCAAACGTGCAGAAGTTCTCCCATGTCATGGCCCAACATGTCATGGGACCTGTCGAAAACGAAATCATCGCTGGCCGAACTTCCCTCATAACCAACCCTTGCCATACATTTCACAGACCATCTCCATATCCTTCTGTCAACCATGTGCTATCTCTGCCACACACGAACATCCATCACCCTTAACAAATCGACGCGGCGGGAACCAAACAACATATTCAAAAGCCTTGGATGAATGGCAACATCTCCACAATCGCATCGGCACATTTTATATGTTCACCGACCTCTCATGTTTCATGTCGTGTTTCACCGACCCCTCCGGATCTCCCCACCTGCCCGATATCTGCGATGCTCTTGACCTTCACCTTGGCCGCAGAGTCTCTGCCCAGGTCCACCCTCGGGTTCGCCTCTGCGAAGCGCACGGCCTCGGCGCTGAAGTCCACGTCGGCCGAGCTCGCCTGAGCCTGGCGAGAAGGCGGTGGATGTGAGTCCCCAAGCGCGGGTTGGACAAATAGAACCATCTGCTGGTCTCTCTCTCTCTCTCTCAATCTACAAACAAATACATATACGAGATCAGATGAGTAACCCTGGTGCACCCCATGACCAAACAATCCTGGTAATTCGAAATAGCAGTAGTCTTGCTTGTCTTGTTTCAAGGGTCCAGGGTGATGCAGCTATCACGTCAAATGGGGATCATTGTACATCTTTGTTGTCGCACTGGTTGTAATCATTCATGAGTCAGGACATATCAGAATTGACGTGCTGCACGAAAACAGGATGATCGGCCGTGTTCTGCACTGTCTATCGACAGTCACAGTGGCCCATCAACCCCCCAAATCATAAATAAAGTGTATGAATCCGTAAACCAATGGAGACCAAACAACCTTGTTGAACTACTGGCAGGGCGACCCATTTCTGAACTACTGGGGATGATAAGGGGAACGGTCGAGTAGAGGATTTTGCTGTGCATCAAAAAGAGATATCCCAAACCATCATTCAGCTCAAACTTGTGAAGTCAAGAAGAACAGACATGTGGAGATCTAGGAAAGAAATTGGAAGAAGGGAAAACGACCAAAACCCATTGAGCCAGGGGGTCTCTCTATTAAACATGAGATGTTGTCAAACAGACTCTGCCGTCTCTACCTCCAGCTTCTTGGGCAGAAGGCTCTCCACCACGAAGGAGAGGCTCCCGCGGCTGAGCTTGGTGTCCGGCAGGGAGCAAACCTTCTCGAAGAGCAATGCTAAACGGATCAAGCGAATGTACCTGAGGGAGAGAACAGGATCGGACCAAAGAAGAACCCGTTTCACTTTCAGATTATGTTTTGGCCGAGAAACCAACAACACCTCAAATAACAGTGACCATGTTTTTCTCCTTTCAGGGTGGTCGATAGGGTTTCCTCACCGCCGGTCCAGCGGTCCAGTTGGCCCGAAATCGAGCACTTCATCTGATATGATACAGTGTCTTCAAACTGACAGCCCTTTAAATAAGAAGAACACATGTATAGATGTTATATATAATGCACATATTGTATATATATATATATACATAACATATACTGTATAATACTGTATATAACTACCCGGTAACTACCCTTTAAGGATTGTTGTCTACCCCAAATCGACTCCTGGCTCTAACCCCCAGGGGCGACGATGAAAACTCACCCCGTGGCTCTACCAGCCCCCCTGTCCCGACGTCGAGCCAAGAGATTTGAGTAGCGGTGACAGCCATAAGGCCATCTGGTCGTGAAATTTATCCAGCACTGAGGTATCTTTGTGGCAACATATTAGTTTGAATTTGCAACCCGCAAGTGCTTGCTGGCTGCATGTTTTCCTCTTATCCATCTTGCACTCTGAGATTTTATTGCGGAGAGCGTGACTCAGGATAGCTATCCTGTGAAGTGCAAGCAACGAAGACTGTTGATCTGCATTGTATAGGGACATCCCAGTTATCTACCATAGAGGTCGGTGTCATCGGGGAATTCAATCATCAACCTCCTGCGGCTGAGGTACTCGCCTTCTGAATCCTTGCCCAAAGCGTCAAAGCTGCTGCACACATGCTGATACATGAGCTCTTCCAGGCGTTCTTTCATCTCATCGTTATGGCTGGCACATTGGCATCTGGGTTTCATAAGGAACAGCACTTTTACCAAAACAAAGAACACAACTGATTTAGATAATGTCAGGAATCCAGGCATCTACAGGAAACAAAGAGTCCTCCCCTGGTTAAAGGTATTTGTTAAACATGTTGCTAGTAATTACAATTCTAATTAAATTCTTATTGTTACTAGTAAGGCACTTGTTTCTAATAGCAAACATTGTTACTACTAGTAAGGCACCTGTTACTACTAGCGATGCACCTGTTACGTTCGTAGCTTCTTGTAAGGCCAGTTGAGGACAGCAACATGTTTCTTCCACTCCAAGGCACGGGAGCTTTCGCCCAGGTCTGTCGTTCACGTGTGCGAACATGGCGTCTGGGTAGGCCTTTGCAAGTTGTTCCACCACCTGTGGAATCGGGTGCAGCGGGCGTGGGACATGCTTAGCATGAGGCCTGCAAGTTGACATGGGTCTATTTAAGAGGTTGTGAAGTTGGGACAAACGCGCCTGGTAGTAGAATTTGGGATGAACACCCAGTGGATCACTGGTCTACTCCTTTGAGAAACACCTAATTATCTCGCTCCTTTAAAGCTGCAATTGAAGACGTACCAACCCACCATGCCAAAACAACGGGCATTGCACATTTCTCTGGTCAATGGGGGTTGAAAAGGAGTGGGTAATTTTGCTGTTGGAAACCTTACAGTACTTCTCTGTCCAAAGGGGTTGAATTTCAGAGGGAAGCCCAACGGGCTTGCCTGCTCTCCAAAAACCCAATGTATTCAGCTGACTTTGCTCATAGCGCTTGGGTTTGGACCCACATCCACTATCCTTCTCACCAACCGCTTAGCAAGCTGGTTCGCCACCTTGAGCGGCATGTGTTTGTTCTCTGCCGCGTAGTGCAACGGCAAACGCTTCGCGAAGCTGGTCTTCAGGCTCCTCGACATAGCCCCACACTAAAGCTGGCCAAGCTTGTTCAACATGAGTTGTTGTTCCCCAGCGGACTTTGTCTTTCGCTATTTTGAGTGAGGTCACAATGGGCATCATTGCCCCCACTTGTAACCCAAGATCAAGGCATCAGCAGAAGGGTTTGCACATCTCACACGCGTGGAATCACAAGATCATGCTGCCCTTGAATAACGCCAGGACTTAAGATACACCATGATTACAACTTATATTGATCCTATTTCTTCATGAATCTTCTGAGCAGTTTTATGGACAGCAAGGAGATGGTCTCAACTTCAGGGTTGAACAGAACAGCTTGCTGAAAGGATACACTCTGACTCCCTAACGTGGAAGTGGAACTTTTTTTCCAAAGGGCAAATAGTCTTCCAAAGGACCGTTTCCCACTTCCATGTTAGTGAAGTCAGAGGATCTCTATTTAGGAGATCCAAGGCTCCTTTCCTTTCCCCACTCCGACAACGTCACGCCGCGGCCCAGCAAGAACTCCAACAAGTTGGGGAGCAGCGCGGCCTTTCGGGCCCGACAGGCGGCGTGGATTGGGGCAAACTCTTCCCATCCCCGTGGATACTTCTCTTCGCCTCAGATGGCTAGGGTGGCGGGGCGGAGCTCGGGCAGCTCCATGCATCGTCGATGCTTCCTTCGGTTGAAGACGAAAAGACTTATATAATCAATCAACGAATTCACATCTCCATTGGAACGCCGGAAGCACACCCTTAAACTTTAAACATCCACATGAGCCGCACATTTACTTCACCCTCTCAAAAATCCAGAATCCTCAACATGTTCCTTCATGTCATGCGTTCTGAACGTTCCCAACTTGGAGCGTTTCCCAAGTTGCTGGGTTCCACAGAGCTCGGCTGGCTGAGATCCTTGATGTGCTCTACGATCTCGCTGGCCATGGCATGCGCCTTCTCCTCCGGCCCCAGCAGCAATGCGGCACAAAGCAGCTTGCCATTCCCTGTTGCAGGCCGCACATGTTGAACACATTCGAAGGTCCAATCCCAATGGCAGGCTTTAATGAACAGGTATGATCCTTTCCAAACTTATGAAGCAACGTCAAGCGATGTTGAGGATAAAATCAGATCACTTCTCTGGGTGACCATGTGTGATCTCTGGGATTCCCATTCTCCGATCCGCGCAAAAAACGAAAAGCACTGCTCGCGAAAGCGGCGCGAAACTGCGACGCGCCGAGGCCTGGGATTTGGTGGGTCACCAGTAGTTTCTGCATCATGTCGATATTCCCAGCTACCACGAAGTCCATCATTCCTTCCTGCAAAAGTCCTGTGGAGAAGTTGTACTTCAAAGCACGGGGCACCAGCATTTCGATGCAATCCCACTCTCTCAATTCCACCGCATGGATCAACGGATTCACCTGAGGCGTCGGCAATCCCAAGGTATCTGAGGGGTGGATTGGACACCCAGGCAGTGAGGAGGCTGGCCATCCCGGACAGTCGATTAAAGAATGCGGAAGAGTCGACAAAAGGAACATGGCCATTCCCTTCAATTGTGCCATATTCTATCATACTCTATCTAATTGTACTTGGGGATGACTGCAAATCGTTGTCATTTTGCTCTGCTGCCTCCTTAAATAACTTTAATATGTTCACTTGGGAGATCAGATTTGGTTTGGTTCACATCTTGTGTGGCAGGGGAACCCTGTTCATTGTGAGTGCAAACCTATGGGTATGGGCACAGTCTCAACAGCTGATGAAACAAGGACATCCCGAAAAAGCTCGGCAGGGTCAGCATCCTGACGTCAACAAAAGATTCAACTAAAGAGTGCTTACCATGTCAACTTGGACTTTATAACATCCTCTCATTCAAAAACATCAGGAAGGAGGGTGCCCGAATATCCGAAAGAGGTCGGGAGACCTGACCTGACCTGACATTTCACTGACCTGACCTATTTCGGAGCTCCCACTGGATTTCTGCGTCTTTGCAGTGGATTCCAAGAGAATGCACCAGTATATATATATAGATGCAACATGATCCAACTTCAATTCCTAACATACATCCAGAAACAGCAAACTCCTACTGCTGGGAATCTCCCTATCAAAATAGGCTCTGGAACACATCTCTGATCACTTCCCACCTCAGGATCGTTCCTGCCAATGAAAGGTCTCACCCCCTCGTCTAGCAAGGCCTGGACACAGCGAGGTGAGTCAGACACAGCAGTTGAGTTTCCCAAAAAATGCAGGAACCAAATCATTAGTGGCAGCGTCTTCAAGGAAGCTCCCCGCCCTCGCGCGGAGGGAGCTTCCTTGAAGAAGCGTGAGCTATCCTGCGTCCATATGTAGTAGCTTCCTATTGCTAGTAGTTTACTTCTCCTTAATTAAGTAGGCACCTTAATTGAGAAATGGCGGGGCAAATATAAACAGGTTTCCAACCTCCTTGAAAGTCTTGGTGATCCTCCGCGCTCTACTTGGAAACAAATGGATCGACACACTGGATCGACAAACATTCACGGATCGAACAGCCACAAGGCCAACGAACAAGACGTGAGGAGGAAGGAACAACACGGTTTCTGTTTTCAACTTTCCAGACGAAAAATACACTGTCTCTCTCGCTCTCTCACTCATATTTTTTAAAATTTACTTTGAGACATGATGAATCACGTCCTGGACCGTCCACGATCAAACAGCAACAACATCAATATACTATCCAAGCACACCTCCGCCCCCAAACTTGGCGCCTTCAACGCCTCAGCCTGCCCATGCTTCACCGCTGCGCAGGTGGCTTCCCTCGCTCCATGTTTCTGTGCCGCCTTGGGCCATTTCTGCAAGAGAGCCTTCAAGCCGCCGCTGTTCCTGAGCTGCCACTACTCCGGCGAGGTTGGTGTCCAGGAAGTGGGGCTCCCGCCAGGGTTCTCCCGTTAGAACCCCGTTTTTCCCAGGTTCTACCACGGAGTTCAATTGGAACGGGCGTGTTTCACCCGCAGTAAACCGGGGGCTCTTGGAAAGCCACTCCTGAATTTGTCAAGAGGTGACCACTCCTCGATGCGCCTGGATTTGTCAGTTCATCCCTTGGATTGGACGACCTGTTTGGGACCGAATTGGCCCAAGAAGGCCAAGCCACTGCTCCGATCTGTATTGTTATTCTATCCCAAAGAAGCATCCTCAGGGGCTGAAAAGGATGCTCAAAATCTACGTTCAATATCTGCATGAATGTTCCTGCTCTTCCAAGGTGGCAGAAGGCAGCCAAGAATCCCAGCAGCTGCAAAGTCGTTGAGCTGCTTGAAGAAAAGGTCCTACCGCTCCGACTCACTAACATTGTCACATGGAAGTGGGAAATGGTGAGTTCGAAGACTGCTTTCCTCTACCAACAGGTGTCTTTTTCCACTTCCATGTTAGTGAGTCGGAGCGTAAACGGGCACACATGTACATTGGCTCTCTCATGAAAACACCTCACATGGACAATGACAAGGATCAAAACTTCTATTTCCCAGGGTTGACACCCCTGCAAGTCCATTCACTTGGTTTTGATCCCACCCACTATATGCGGAAAAAACACGTCACTGAGTTTGGTGTGCAGAAATGGGATTCAATGATGTTCAACGTCAAAAAAACCCATTGAATAAGTTGAATGCGTGAAGAGAACAAACCAATTATCACGCTTTCCCTTTGCACCTGTAACATGCCAGTACCCCTTAGGTGTTTCAACAATTCTCAAAAAACTCTCTGCTTCAGGCGTTTTCCCTCAGGACGTCCTGAGCTTCTTGATTGCCAGCGATGGCAGCCTGGATCGTTGGTGCTGCCAAACCCACATCTCCGCTTGCCTCTCGAGGAGATGCTTTACCTTTGGCAGCTCCACTCCCCATGGCAGGATGAGGGTTGGTAGGTCAGTCACCAAGGGATGCAGAAGGGATGTATAGTATAGACACAGCTTTAATCTGTTGTTCGAAGTGCTGAGGGTGGTCATCAAAAGAGCTGGAGCATTGATCTACTGTACTATTGATCCTGGGTCATTGTGGTTCATTGTCGTTCTCTGCCACTGATAACAAGTTAAATCACGTCGAGAACACCTTAACATGTGGATACTTTTACTTCCTGCCTAACCAAGTAGCATCCATCACCATATTAGATCATCCTTTAAGTGTCGGGGCACAGAACACCTGCTTGATCTGGGCTGCACTGGAACATGCTTGAACGGCTGAACAAACGAGACCAATCCATGGCCGTGACCAAATCCGCTCCCCACTGCTATCCTTGACAAACATGTGGTAATTGGTTGCTGGAACATGTCATCTCAAAGATTCCCCCCCGCACCCATTGACCCATTGACCCATTGACCCACCCACATGAGGCGTACAAACATAGCAGGCGGAGTGGTCCGACTCATCTACAGCCGCACCAGCTGTGCTTTTGCTGATGCCAATCCAGCAGTCTTTGCTCTCTGCGCTGACCAGGTAGTGGAAGTGTTCTCCCTCTGGGCTGTCAAACCACGGTGATGTACTGTGAACATGTTTTTATCTGGTCGTTGCAAACAGGTCCGGCAACACTCTTCTGTACACAAAGGCAATGTCACAAGAAGTGCAAATGCAACTAATGCGACATATTCATACTCTTGCAGCCTTGAATCCTCACAGAACTTTCTGCTCGGAAGGGCTTCCCTTGAGCGAATTCTTTTGCACGGCACGCAATGGCATGCACCAACAATCACTTCATCGAACCACCGATCCATTGGCAAGGCCCATTGTTCACAACTCCTCGTGCTCATTGAAGACCAGTGGCCCGTTCTTCAACGAGACTCTGGGCCTGGAAGCACATGGGTCGCTCGGGGATGGTGCTTGTACTATATTTAACCATTCCCCCAAATTGGTCAACCGAGGTAGTCATTCCCAAATAGGGTTGAGCAGTAAAACCATACATGAAAGCACCAACCAGTTCTGTTGCAGTTGGTTTTTTGAAGGCGATCATTGGTGGGTGCTGCATGGTGCTGCCATGGTTTGACCATGGCGATCATTGGTGTGGCTCTTCTTTTTTTGGGATCCCCTTCAAGAACTAATACTTGAGGATGATCTGTTAATTTTATATATTTTGTAATTCCAGAAGTTCTGGCTTCCTTTCTTCTTGAAATTCTTTTCTTCAGGTCGTGTCCTGGACATCCCTGCCGAACCAAGTGGCCCAGGGATCTGCGAGAGGTAAAAGGCACCTTGCCGCGTGACCCGGAACGATCTACCATGACTGACCATTCCCGACGCAGCCAGTACATCGGGATCCAGGATGGGTCTCAGCCTCCCAAGCGCGAACCGTAACGCGTTTTTGAATCGACCTGCATCTTCACATTCCATACCAGATTTGGTTGTCTGACATCCACGAACATCCACCAAACCATTTTGTGGGTTGAAACAATTCGTGAGGTCTTGGATTCTTCATAGTCATAGCTGAACCAGGACCATTTGTTTTCTCCCATGAATAGTCCATGACCAGTTCAAGATGTTCAAGGACATTCATGGGTGGTTTTGGGATGGTTTTGGGGTGGCATCTGTATAATTATATAGATTTATATCATGGGCCAGCAAAGTGGCTTACAACCGCAAACTTGCCCGAGTCAGTCATTCTTGAGCACCTATGCTGATGGAAACACAGGGTTCTGATGGGTTCTGTACTCCTTCTCTTACAAGCTTCACTGAAAGTAAGCGTGTTCAATCTTGGTATGGGTTCCTTTGGTGAGCAAGCACATCAATTTAGGCAAAGTATGGCAAAGTCCCTTCACTACCAGAAAACATGTGGGACAATTTGGTAATGGATTTGTGCTCGGGTCCAAACATGTCCAAACGATAGGCATCAGGCATCTCCAAAGGGGTCGCTTTTTGTGGCATGTACGTTTCCTCTCCAGTCTCCCGCAAGTGGAAGGGCTGTTGACAACACGGGACAGAACGCTTGCGTTGACTGTGGTGACATGTCATGTCAGTTCTGGACGAAAAAACTATAAAGAAATCATGCGATGCGGGACTGCGTGTGCCCACTCCCCAAACGTCTGCCTCCTGGTTTCCGAAGAGAGTGTGCTCTGTGTGGGCTCTACACTATCCAGTTGTCTCATGTTACAGGATTGGATCGGCAAAGGCTGCATCAAATCATCGCAATTTCGAAAGAACTGCCTCAAAACAGTGCAAGGACACGCAAGGAGTTGAGACACTGGACTCAATTGTGCGAGTCCTTGTTTCGAACTTTAAGCTGCCCCCACTTCTCCTCCAACAATTGTTTGCAACAAGTCACGGGAGCAGTTCTGGAGGCAGTCGCGATCGGCCTGTGGCATGGAGGCTGCGGGCTTTCATGGTCTCTTTCAAAGTATGGGGTTGAAGAGTTTGGACGCATAGTAACCCAAAATGGATGGAGTGAAAACAGGGAATCCCAAGGGAACATCGGTTGTTTATCAAGGCGGACTGCAACTGTTGAGGCCTCTGCAGAGTTTGGTCTGCATCCAACAGGATTCTCGACGCCAGAAACAAAGTCTGTCGATTTCTCCTGCTTCAGGGCTCAAGATCTCAATAGACTTCCTAGTCGCCCTGACTCGGAGATGAACATAGCAAAAAAAAATCATACACAAAAACACCCTAGGACATCATCACAAAATTGTAAAACCTCTTGACGTTCTTCTCAACTGTGTTACTTCTGGTGATAACTTCTGATGATTTCCTCCTGTCTGTGAACGTGTTGTGTGATGGACGCACATCGTGAGATCGATCACTCTCAGGACGCACATTGTAACATGACAGGAGCAGCTGTGCTTCATGACCAAAAATACAGCGGTTTCAGAGTAGATGGCAAATGGAACAACCCTCTTACATGTCGTTTGGATGGGGGTCCTTATAATCCACCCTAATTACTTGGGGAGGCCCACAAACGTGCCATCTGCTCTCCGTCCACAATGACCAGGTGATCCTCTGAGGTCCTTGCTGGTTTGTGGTAGCCATTCAGCACTGAAGGGCAATGGCAGTTCGGGTTCACCTGGCTAGGCCGCTTGGGCTCCAGTGGGCTTCAACGAGCCGTGTGGGCAGCGGAGAGTGGGATGAGGCCAGTGACTAATCAGAAGTTATGTACCTTTCTCCATACCTGGGACATGCCCCAAACGAGGTACTTTGAGAATTTATCCTGCTGAGTTGTTTTCACTCCTGGCGTTCTTCCCCACCCCAAATTGACGAAAATATCCGACAACCGATGAGAATTGAACAACTATGGGCAACTCACACACTTGGGGAGACTGCCACCATATTGGATGGTTTCAGCATCTGAAAGGAACAAAGCGGGACGACCAGGCTGGGCCGCTGGGTTCAATCGTCCACTTACCCGTGTACATGATAAGCACAAAGATGTGCCCAACTTGCCGATCACCTGCAAACCTAACGAGGAACGTCTCCCTGACTCACCGATGTCTACTCATACTGTCTCGCGCGATGTTCAGCTACCATCTTGGGAGATTTGACCGCCACTTTAGCTACTCAAACCTCTTGTACTGCATGTGATGTTCAGAACAAGAACACATTCCATGGACGTTCACAAAAGGAGAACTTCTCCTTGGGCCTCAAAGGGACGTCTCCAGATCTTCCCTCCTTCCTCGGTTCTCGGTGCCCACCGTGTGAGTCATCTCCAAAAGCATCAGAGACTCCAAGTCCTCAGAGGGGCGTCAAAGGGTGTTTTGCCTCCGCTTGGCGCTCAGAAATATTTTTTCTCGGTGTTTTAGATGTCCACGAGTCTACTCAAGTGACATCCTGCTTGTGCACGGCACGCGGGAGTCCAGCTTTCCGTCCATCGTTTCTTCCGCTTTTCTCTTTTTGTTTTGCCTGAGCGCTCCTGCTTGACTTTGATCAAAGAGCAAACCCTCCTACTTGCCATCATATATTTCAATGGAGCAAGGACGCTACGAACGGGGCTCCTGGCCATACTCCTAGTAACAAGAAGCTATTAGAAACAAGAAATAAATAGAATTAAAAGATCCAAAAGATCCAGTCGGTGAACTGAGTTCGACCAAAGAGCGAGCCCGCCCGAGCCCACGTCGATGCGCGGTCGCCACGAAGACGGGATCTCCCGGCCTCACCGCTGGGGCGCATGGAGCTGTGGACCTGGCGTGGCTGCGGTTGATGGAATGGATGATGGATGAAGCATGAACTGTTTTAGGCCTGGGGAGTGAATTATAATAGAATCAAGAGTCCTACATGTTTGGTCTGTGTTTCAACATGTTACCAGAAAGAGCGAGGATGAGTATAAGACGGAGGTGGAAGCAGTGACGGTAATGAGCAGAAAAGCCAGCCGTAACGATGAGTCCAGGAAAGTCAAGGAGAGCAAGAGTTGTAACACATCAGCGAAAGCGGCTAGCAGAATGAAGCAAAAACATCACTGGAATTGTCACAAAAATTCGTCCTTACGCATCAATCTTTATTTCGTCTATATATCAGGGATCTACTGCTGACACTGCTTCAAAAGGTGATTCTTCAGCATTGGTGGTGTGCAAATGCATTCCCATAAGAACCTGGCTAAAACTGATGAAATGCTAAATGAAACCCACAAGATCCTAATATACTCCCATGAAAACCTAAATTGTTCTCAAGACTACATCCAATCACATCTCACTCCAAACCCCCATTGCAACTGCAATGTTCCAGCCCCTTTTTTCTCAGCGAAGTGAGGTGTCAAAGTGTCAAAGGCGCTTCCACCTGCCAGGGCTGATGAACTTGCTCTGAAACAAAACCCACCTGTGAACATTCATTAATTAGGCTAATAATAGCCTAATAGCCTATTGTATCCCACAACACTTCTTTTAAACATGCACAGATTCCCCAAAGTGGAGGGCAATAGTCTAGAAAGCCTTTTTTCATTC